GAGGAGGAGGAGGAGGAGGAGGAGGAGGAGAAGAAGGAGAAGAAGAACAAGAAGAACAAGAACAAGAACAAGAAGAAGAACAAAAATAAGAACTAGAAAAAGAACAAGAAGCAGATACGAAAAAAATAGCTCAACAAAAATATTCCTTACCATCATCGGCGCCCCAAGACGACTGTACGACCCTCATAGAATTGAAGGTGGAGCGGCGACAAGCCAGATGAAGACAGCACTTTCTTGACCTAAATTCCACACACGTCAAAAATGAGTCTTTTGTAAGAGTTACAGCTTTTTGTTTTAGTAGGTTTTACGGCGCTCGCAACTGCATAAGGTCATATGAGCGCCGGAAGATCAGAGGTGTTACAAGAGAGTAACAAACATAAAAAAAGAAGAAGGGAAGATAAGGACGATAGATGTCTGATAGGAAAGAAGGAGCTTTACGGCGCTTGCGCAACACAAACAGGTCATACAAGTGCCGAAGATTAGAGGTGTTCCTAGAGAGTGACATACAAACAAAAGAGGGAGGACGGATAAGGACGATCAACATTTTTTGTGTGTTTTAGTAAGGTTTTAGGGCGCTCACAACTGCATACGGTCATAATTTTTTCGCCAAGGGATGGATGTCAACAGAGAAGTCCAAACGGGGAATCAGACTTACTCTGCTCACCTCTCTACCCTACACAGAACAAAGTCTGCTTCGACTATCAAGGCACCCCGCAAATAGCAGGTCACAAGAGTGTGACAAACATACAAAAGAAGTAGAGGGTAAAATGATGACAGTAAGGAATAGGAAAGAAAAAGCAGCAGTTCCTTGTTGCAGCTCAGGCACAGTTATGAGCATGACATTGACAAATCAGCCCATTTACAATTCTACTGTGCATAAGAACTTGTTAATGTCCCCCCTTTGGGAATGGCCTAAAGACACTTCAGTCAGTAGCACCGCCCCAGGGGGTTGATAGATGTTTGATAGGAAAGAAGGAGCAAACACATAGGAGCACCCGCCCATCATCCAAGCCAAAAAACGTGAGCATTGTAAAAGAATTATTTTTCGTTTTAGTAAAGGTTTTACGGCGCTCGCAACTGCAAAAGGTCATATGAGCGCCAGAAGATTAGAGGTGTTACAAGATATTAACAAACATAAAAAGAAGGAGGGGAGATAAGGACGATAGATGTTTGATAGGAAAGAAGGAGCAAACCACAACCGAGCACCTGCCAACCACCCACGTAAAAGATGATGACACCTGAATAAACATGATGTCGCCCCGAGTACAACAACCCGGAATCCCACAAAAACAAAATTTTACAGAAAGCAAAAACTTTGTAAGTTCATCTAACACTTTGTTTTTTTTTTAAAAAGCTGGAATGTTGCACTGGTGATATTTATTGAGCTAAACGTCTAAACATTTGACACAAAATCTGCAAAATTACATTGGGTAGAAACCAGAATAGAGCACCTGCCAACGACCCAAGAAGAAGGAGGGATAAGGATGATAGATGCTTGATAGGAGAGAAGGAGCAAATCACACTAGAGCACCCGCCAACCACTCACAAAGAAGGAGGAATAAGAAAGACAGATGTTTGATAGGAGAAAAAGAGCAAATCACACTAGAGCACCCGCCAACCACTCACAAAGAAGGAGGAATAAGAAAGACAGATGTTTGATAGGAGAAAAAGAGCAAATCACACTAGAGCACCCGCCAACCACTCACAAAGAAGGAGG